CTACTGCTTTCAACACCTTCACGTAACCCTTGCCACCCTCCCCCAGTTCAGCGAGTTAGCCATTGTCGAGTGGGATGGAATTCGTTTGGCCAGAGCGGGTTTGGATTGATTAAGCTTACCTCCCAATTTACTGAATCAGCCATTATGGAATGGGGTGACATTCGTTTGGCCAGAGCGGGTTTGGACTGCGTAATCTTACTCCTACTTTACTGAATCAGCCATTGTTAGAGTTTGATGAAATTCGTTTGGTCAGAGCGGGTTTGGACTGCGTAAGCTTTCAACCATCACCACATAGGTCCATGACATTTAATGACCAGGGGCTAATCCATATAAACGCATAGATACCCTAGATCAGTGAGGTTGGCAACGAAACCGCTTGGGCGACGTTGCACAACGGCCCGGTATACGGTACTTGGGGGCTAATCTGCGGCGCGGCTTTTGTTTACGACACACATTTGGCGTGTCAACGAAATCGCACGTTCGGTCGTCGTCGCCGCCACGACCGGCCGGCCCCGCCTTCCCACGCAGGGAAACCCCCTCACCGGCCGGTCGCACATGATACGGCAACGCAGGGGGGATTCCCCCGTTGCTACAGTAACCCTCCGTTGACCAATTATTTGCCGCTAATACTCCCAACCAAGACCATGCTACTCTTTATTGAACACATGGATCTTGAAGGATTCCAAGCGATGTAGGCATGTGTGTAAATTCTCGTAGGAAGCATATGCAGATGTGTAATTTCTCGTGAAGATCACACTTCGTTGCACCCAAGATTGTAATGTGTCCTCTGTGAGGCCTACATGATTTCCACTTTAAGGTTTATCATGTTCTTTCTAGCTGAATTTAGATCCGGATGGTATCCGTATTTATCGGTGATCTAGTCGTTGTCAATGCGAACGAGATAGCCGGGGTTCGAGGTTGGCTCAATGGTTTATTTCTCTTTTTGATGTAAAATAATCTAATTATTGTTCAAAAATAACCAGTATGGGCTTCCACCTGCTGATCTCAAGTTTTTTTTTTACCTGAGTAGGGGTTATCTCGAAAGTTCACTTCGTGCAAAGCTCTTTAACAAGCTGACCGACTAGAAACTTTTCTTGAATATCTTTTTTTATTGGTTCACCCCTTTTGTATTTGAAACAAGGTAGTATGCGTAGGTAAAGGACTGCGTAGAACTGCTTTGATAGACAAGTTTTACATTTTTTCAAAAAGTTTCAAGTGTAAATCTAGTCTAAAAAATGAACGATTTCTGAATTAGCCTTCTAGGGAGCGTATTTTTTTTTATTCCTACATGCGCTATTTTATGAGTATAAGGTTTTTAATGGTTTTTTCTAGGACACTCTTAATCCATGGTGGAGACGTAATTATTGTGAAATTAAGCTGGTATTATTTTTTTCTGTTATGTTGTTACAAAGATGTGGTATAATAGTTAGCAATGCTATGTAACCACGTCGTCGTCGTCGTCGAAAGTCGTCGTGGAAAGGTCTAAAAAGGATTTTTGATGCCTATCAGAGAATGGCAATCCCCCCTTCCTTCCCGAAAAAGTCATTGCCTGTTGTTTTTTTTTCGGTGGTTAAAAGGATAGCGAAACTGCAAGGTATTTCTCTAGGTATATAGCACTTGTACGCATAAAAAGCCTATAAAAAGGACGGAAACATGGGGTTGTGTGCCTAGCACTACGTATTTATGGTACTACAAGTAATAAATTACTGCTCATAAATTGTACTCGGCCCCGTAGATGTTTGACCTTTGGTTCTTAAATTCAGAACGCAATTAGTGCAACTAATAGATAGCGCATCTCTGTTTATCTTTGTTCTCGCTGCCCTCCGCGCTACACTGGAGGCGTTCGCGTGCTCGCTTTTGATGGCCGACTCTCGTAGCATTGCTCGCGGAATGTTCCATGGTCTTCCATAAGGTCATTCCTAGTTACATCTTCGTTTTCAGAGTTCTGTAGTAACCATATGCCAAGTTTCGCCTAAATTGATGAGCATTACGCAGTTATTTAGGAGTATGTCTGCTTCTATCTTCACTACTGTAGTTTTGAGGAAATTCGCTGCTGGATAGAACATTTATTTGCTTTTACGCCCCTTGCCCCTTTGGACTTGCAGGTTTTCCATGCATAGCAAAAGAATAAAAACCTCAATCTATAATGATCATGGAACTGGCAAGCTAAATTTTAGGGAATTGGGGTTTTCCTGAATATGAAATCCTGCCCAGAACAGGCAAGGCTCCTCGGGGTAGGTTAACTGCTACCAAATTCGTCTGGGAGAATAAAATCAGTGATTTGTACATGAGATGGGCAACGTAGGCCATACAAACAACCCTTAGCATTCTGAATGGATGTCGAAATGATGGCGCATCCTAAAATACGGATTGATCAACGACAAAAACTTTATCCTTGAAACCTCATCTTGAAACTGGCATCTAGCTACGCATGATGGCCTTTTTCAGCGATTAGATATCCACTCGGAACTCATTTTCCATTGTAGATTAAGGGAAAGGATAGCGGTGATAGGAAAGAAGAAGTTGTATAGTGTGGTATATAGTTTAAAATTTCTCAGGACAATCCGCGCTGCCATTTATCTTCGATTCTTGCGATCGTGATCAGTGATCAGTGATCATTGATAGTGCGAAAATTCGATAGATATCGGGTGAAATCGTATAGATGAGGTCCGCATGGAAGCAAACAATCGTTTGTTCACATTAAGTAATTCTAATGGCTTCTATTCAAAGTATTCTTGGGCCTAAACACCTACCACACAGTGAGCTGCAAAACTCTGCTGAAGAACTCTGGTTTGATTCGATTCCTTACATCTACCTTTGATTACTTTGATCTGCAACGGCATGGTAGCTCTAGCGCAATCCATGTCATGGCGCCACTTGAAATGTTTGCTTACTGGACTGGCTCGCTTTACAGTCGTACAAGGTATCAGATTGCTGACGCTGTGTTTTCTTATCTTTGTTGTCAACAAAAGCCTACTCATCTTGAAATTCAGTTCATTTTAATTCGCTTGTTCGTGATAATCGCGCTTTTTACCGCCTCTGATAGATGCCTAGTACCTTGTCTCTCATGTGGTTCCGGTTAATGTCATGGATTGCTTATAGAAATATCCTGTTTTCAGTACTAGAAACTGGGAACACTATCGAATGGAGGTCTTCTCAAAATCCATNACTCATCTTGAAATTCATTTCATTTTAATTCGCTTGTTCGTGATAATCGCGCTTTTTACCGCCTCTGATAGATGCCTAGTACCTTGTCTCTCATGTGGTTCCGGCTTATAGAAATATCCTGTTTGCAGTACTGGAAACTGTGGGAACACTATCGAATGGAGGTCTTCTCAAAATCCATCTACGCCTATGAAAAAGTACGTACAGCTGTTCGTGATTATGAAGATGATGTAGATGTTACCGCTACGATTCCGAAGACTCGAGCCAAAGTTGTCGTCGTCGGCTCATCAGGTTAGACTTCAGAAAATCATTTATTTAATTATGTTTACCTCAAAATACCTGCAAAAACACCTCTGAAACTAGAGGATTCCATTCGGTTTCCAGCTGTTTTGATTTCTTATCAGCGGAGAAGCAAGGAAATCTATATTTCTAGATAATTGTACACCTGCAACTTAAATCCTTGCGGCAATTTGAGCCCAACACTCTCCTATTGGTTTAGAAGACCGAACATTTTTCTGTTTAGTACTTAGTCAAAAAATTCTGAGAGTTCAGAGAGTGATATTTATAACTTTTCTTTGAAATTCAGTAAATCAGGTCTCCTCTTCAGGAGTTGGTAAGACGTCTGTGATCTATCGGCACAGGTTTGGTAATCGCTCTGCACCTTTCACCTCAACAATCGGTGCTTCATTCGTGGAATGCGAAGTGTGAGTTTTTTTTTNNTTTTTTTTTCGAACAGTTTGTATGTAGTAAGTTGTAATCGCTGTTACTCTTCACTTATACCCGTTTTCGAATGAGTGCTACATATTGGAATCTCATCGCAGCAACTGGTCTGGCTTACAATAGAATATGTAGCTCGCATTCGGTTTGAAAGCCCCTGTCCCACTAAAATGCCCTCCCAACCCCTCAAAGGTCGTCTAAACAAGAATATCGTGTTTGTTCGAATATAACGTCCTGAGCGGTTAAACCTAAAGTGCCTTTGACGTGGAGGACGCCAGACGCTTTTGGAACTAGCGGTTGTTTATATTCATAAGAGAATATTGGATTACATCCATGAACCCGATTTCTGCAATTTTGGAAAAAATATGTTTTGGTTGAAAAGATACTGATTGGTGTTCTGCTGGCTAAGTGTTCCAGGGCAGACTTCCATCATTAATCTCATCATGCTGCAAATTTTGCGGAAGTGTCAGCTCAAATTTCGAACTGTCGAGTTGAACTAGGGTTGTGTGGGGTCAATAAGAAAGGTGGAGGGCAGAGTTCAAGCAGTATCCGATCATGATCCACAAGATTTCTTCAGAATTTCTCTTTTTTCCTGCTCAAGGGAGAACATCAAAATGCGCATCTCTAGGAAGCCTGACATTGTCTAGTTCTATGCTCACATTTTCAGAGAAGCCAACAACGAAAACATAAGCCTTCAGATCTGGGACACAGCTGGGCAGGAGCGTTTTCGTTGTATGGTGGGTTTTCCATAATTATTAAAAATTAGTTTTTTTCGGTACTATCAAAATGAGCTTTAAACGGTGTGACGTCATTCTATTTTCGTTTTTAACATTCTCAGGAAAAGTCATAGAGTACCCTTTCCATTTCAGGTCCCAATGTACATGCGAAATTCTGCTGCTGCCATTATAATGTACGACATAACAAATAGACAGTCATTTGAAGATGTTGATAAGTGGGCTGAAGGTTCGTTCGAAGTTGTTGTATTCCTTTTTATTCATTTTTTTTATTCTGATGTGAATATTAGAATATCTGTCATCTTCGTATACAGTAGGGAGATTTGGGAATCCCAGGTCTCAAAGTTAGAGATTCTGTTTATTCTGGGTGGAATCTTAAGCTCTCACCAATTCACGTTTCATGTTCTTAACGTAGAATTCATTGTAATTCATGGGCAATTCTCACAGAACTACTGGCAGCATGAAAGCTATGACGTCATTTAGGGTTACATTCAAGTATAGGGTGGGTCGAAGTATAACGAAATGTTTGTGATAGTATCAATTGATGGGTTTTTATAATGCTTTTGCTAGAGTGCCCCTCCTACATTGTTAATGGAAGGAGTTGGGTGGAATAGATCTAAAGAAGGTTCTTTTAATTATCTGCGGAGTACGGTGCTTTCACCGTAAACACTCGGTAGCATGACTCTCGGCATCTATTTCGTTGAAATCGAAGTCTGTTTTATCTCATCTAGCGCACGCAAACCAACTGGTCGCTGAAGGTTCCACTCTGATTCATCATATTACAGAGCTTCGCAAGTGTTGTGGAATTTCCGATCCTCTGGTAGTGCTGATAGGGAATAAGGTCAGCCCTTGCCAGATCACAATTGAACCTACAAAGAAGTATTTGAAGTCAGCTTACTTTTACTTTTAGTGTGACCTGAACGACAAGCGACGCGTTTCAATGCTTGAAGGACAGGAGAAAGCTTTTTCCCTCGACGCACGATTTTACGAGATCTCAGCTGAAAAGCCAATAAGTGAGTCTAAACTTTTCGAATAACAATGTGTATTCACCAACCTCAAGTCCTGTTACGATCTGCATCGATGCCTTTCTATTTAAGTCCCAACATCTGGGCCCGTTCCCCTCATATGATGGATGGCTTATTTCATCTACCGTACTCAGATACCATCTCTCCGCGGCACGCTCCATCGTGCGCGCCTAAGTGCAATATCGTAGAGAGTCAAGCGTAATGAACTAGAAAAGAGATAGAAATAGTTGGGTTAAATACAGTTGACGTACTTTATTTGTAGAAGATTTTGAGCATTTTCCTGAAATTTCTGGATATTCTTTTTCCTGACCAATCTTGCTTTGTGCTTTTTACCTCTTCTTCCTTCTCACGTATCCCATCATCACTGGGTTCTTTTTCAGCGTTTGCTCTGGTGTTAGAAGATCTCTGCAGCGATCTTTTGTCTAGCGCGAAGGCTGATGAGATATCCTCTATGATCTCTGCGACCCGTGATAACGTCGTTCATCTCTCGTCAAGCGCATCGTCGGTATCTTCGAAGGACTCGAAGACCAAAAAGAGTTGCTGCTCATTTTTTTAGATCTAGTTATTATATTTCTAATTTTATTTCTTCAATGCCTTTTGACCAGTCGATCCTGGTCCTAATAGCTGAGATGAAGCACTTTTATGTTATGGGATCATAGTTTTCGAATATTACACCAGGATCGAATGCGACTAGTTAGCCATATTGGCAGAATTATCACACTTCTTGTCATATAATAATCCCTATTTACTTACTCAATTCACGTTTTACTACCTCTTTTACTATGCTATTAGTAATCTATTCTCAGGATCATCTCAGTTGTTTATGCTCATAGTCAGGTTTTGTTTATAAACTGACTAACATTAATCTATAATTTGTAATGTTACAAGTAGTGTAAGTCTTTCAAGTAACGGGATCCTAGTTTTTCAAATAATCGCCTTTAAACCTTTTCGTAGTGTGTAGTTTGTATTTCTTTTTCAGTATATTTTATTATAGTATTTACAGTCTTTATCCTGTGATTTATTGTCTTAACGACACCCATGTATCAGGGATATCTGTTTTATATTTGCTGATTGTTATACATGGGTAGAAATTTGCCGTCGATATTCGATCCGAGTTTGATGCCGTACTGGTTTCATGTTGACAAATTGCCACATTGGTATTTAATAAATGTTGATCTATAAATGTTGATTTACGAAATCAAGCGGGTTGTCGGCAGTGTAAGGTGTGAAGAGCACGGTGCCTGGATAGCGCAATTACGGGTTGGAGTCCCGCTCGAGACCAAAGTTTTGCCAACCCTTCTGACCTTCGCATCGCGTACAGCTACTAAATAACAGCAGTTAACAAGAAATTCATTGGTAAAAATTGATTCTCTTGATGTTCGGTATATGCTTGGAAGGAAGAGGTAAAAGGCGTTGCTCGGTATAGGGTATTTTTTAAAACCTGTTTTTTGAAAAATCTAATTTTCAGCTGAGTATTCTTCGATTCTCACTACTATTAGGGCGACAAAACAAGGAAAACAAGGCAGACAGAGATTTTTGAAAAATCCGAACATAGTGGCCAGAATCTAATTGCATGGTGACGTCCCATCTGGTGCTTTATTATTCGCGTTGCTATTCAATTTGTTAGTAGCCTACATAATGGAAACTAGTATTGCGATCACTGTGGGGTGCTAGTGTTCGTGTTCATGCTACAGCCATATATAGTAAAATTGGATTAGGAGAATACGAGATCATCAAAGGGGATATTTAACAGCATGATTTCCTCGATCTCAATGTTCATGTCTCGTTGTTATCAAATGAATGTTGATTCCTCTTTTTTTGACAATACATGTTGTGAAAGATATCACACAAAAATTGACTGGTGGCACATAGTTTTTTAATGAGTTTCACTGAGACTCATAAGGCAAACGCGCCGAAATTCAGTAGTATAAGAGTCACACGAGGGATCCGAATATTCGCTACTCTTCACCCAGTTCAGGCAAAGTTTCGACTTTTATGAGTCAATTAGTTTGCACTTTACTCATTGAGGAAAATGAAAATACTGGCTTGACATTGGCTGGGGCGCACATACCGTTGTAAAGACCGAATACGCATTCAAATGCCTCTAGAGTGTGAATGGAAGTCGAATACACAGCCCACAGCGATATCAATGCTGTCAGAAATCTTCGCCCTTTATCCTTCATGATGGTAAGATTTGGATGGTCACATACGAAAATTTTTCAGAATTATGGTTCTGAAATCTTTTCGCGTCTGCCTGTTCTTCTCCATTAGTGGAAATGTCTTCAATCTGAGAATACTTACTAGAAGCCGTCCATTCAAGTTTACATATAGTTAATGAACGGGCTCTTACACAATTTCTGAACTGCTACTACTGTAGTTCTATTAAACAGCTTCTGTTTCCCAGTTACAGTTATCATTTCCATGGTCTGTGCAGGGAATGGATAGGGACACCTAATAATCAGAGTAGTTCACTGTGGTAAAGACAGATTCTTCATCGAACAAGCTACAGTGGAGTCGGTAAGTCTACCGGTCCTTTGCGAAAGTGATCAGTGATCATTTAAGATGGTGCGAAAACTATTCCGCTAAATACCGGCTGCCGGTACGATAGGGAATCGGCCCACACTTGGAAAGTTCATAACAAAGAACAACCCACCAAAAATGAGTAATCCTAGTTGGTAATCCTATCCACGTACTATAGTAGTTTACGGGGAACTAATAGCGCTAAAATTTAATGATTTGCTTTATACCTATGGATCTGTTCTGTCCATAAGGATAGGCGACGTACAACAAGTGAATTTATCAGAATCAAGTGAAGTTTTTAATTTTCAGCAAAACAGAATCATACCGATCAGCATTTTGTTTGTACAGAACAAAAATGACAAATGGATTACTGAGAGCAAGGGTAGGAGTAATCGACATGGTGTATTGCTGGGAACTTGAACGCTTGGGAGCGATCCTTTCCCCTTAAAGACCTGACTATCTGCTCTAGGAATGCCACACACCGCTCCTTTCCCAGATTAGGTTCAATCCGTCGTTGTCTTTTGTCGTCGCAGCGCTGGCTGGCCATCATGGCAAGGTCAACACGCCTCATCATGCAGGCCATCACTGTTAAGACTGTTTGGTTACAGTCTTTACATATTTGATTAGCGCCCGCTTTATAGTC